GCAGTGCTGGTGGAAGGAGGATATGATGCAGGTGCCAGATTTGGAGCTGGGGCTACTGCTGGCAACATTCCTGTGAGTATGGCCTTACCTGAAAAAAACTTAGTCCTTGTGTGTTTTAGTTTTCAGGAATAACTTCATACTCATGCTCTCTCACCGCCCATGGGTAATAGTTACCAATATTGAGGCAACCACTGAAAGTAGTTGAGGGAGCAGCAGAGCTGTGGCAGGCGAGTAGCATCCAGCACATTCACTGGGGTCTGAGTTGACCAGATTCCTTGTTTTTCTGCTTCTTTAGATGATGTTAGTATAATGAACTAATCTAGTAGTGCTCCTTATTCATTTCATAAGCATTTTCTTATGAAAACCCTGATGATTAAAAAAATAAAACTCATAATCCTTGGTAAGTAGCTTTTAGGAAGATCCTACAGATTTTATCACTGTCTCCTGCTTAGTTCTCCAGTACGTGGGATTTGGAGCCCAAATGGTCTTTGCTGAGGTCATTCACTCAGTACCATATGCTAGAGATGAGTGAGAATCATGTCATCAGCAAGCTTTTAGGTTATACAGTGGTCTATTTAAAAACTATTTAGGGATTCTGTGAGATTTAGCCTCTCCTCTTTTGCGAATATGACTAGGAGTGATTCTTTATGCTGAAAATGATTGTGGGACCAACCTGCTCACAACCAGAAGGTATCCATAGGCTTCATTTTGGAGCTGGAACCCTTTGAATGAGTAGTGGACTCTTGTTCCTCTTTGTGTCTTTGGCTTCACAAAGAATATAGATCTTTTAGAACCCGAAATGTTTCCAGAACTCATTTCTTAACATGTCATTGGTTAGCATATTGCCATCCTCCTAGCAGGTGCTCTGCTTCATGCCTTTCCCCTTCCCTTGTATCATTTGCCCTGTGCCCATTCTACTTTATTTTCCTTTCAGCCTCCACCTCCTGGATGTCCTCCCAATGCTGCTCAGCTTGCAGTCATGCAGGGAGCCAACGTCCTCGTAACTCAGCGGAAGGGAAACTTCTTCATGGGTGGCTCAGATGGTGGCTACACCATCTGGTGAGGAACCAAGGCCACCTCTGTGCCGGGAAAGACATCACATACCTTCAGCACTTCTCACAATGTAACTGCTTAGTCATATTAACCTGAAGTTGCAGTTTAGACACATGTTGTTGGGGTGTCTTTCTGGTGCCCAAACTTTCAGGCACTTTTCAAATTTAATAAGGAACCATGTAATGGTAGCAGTACCTCCCTAAAGCACTTCGAGGTAGGGGAGGTATCCATTCATAAAATGAATGTGGGTGAAGCAGCCCTAAGGATCTTCCTTTAATTCCTCTGGAGTAATACTGTACCATACTGGTCTTTGCTTTTAGTAATAAAACATCAAATTAGGTTTGGAGGGAACTTTGATCTTCCTAAGAATTAAAGTTGCCAAATTATTCTGATTGGTCTTTAATCTCCTTTAAGTCTTTGATTTATATTACTTATTATAAATGAAACGCATTAGTTGTCTGCCTTTTTCTTTCCATTCTTTGCCCCATATCCCACCTCTAGTCCGTCTTCCATCCTCCCACCAATCTCTATTGAATCAATGGTGCAGGACAGAAAGCCAGTCAGACTAATTTCCTTCTCTCCTTGCACTTCTACCCCCTGGTCATCTTTTAACTAGTCTTTCACAAGGATCCTCTGAACCCTTCTGTGCCCCAAGCACAGACCCCATTACTTCTGCTTTCGTATCTCCTCAGGCAAAAGTGGAGGGTGCCTTTTGGACCTTCCTCATAGGTTGTTTCTGCATACATGAACCTAACCCAAATTTGCTGTGGTGCCAGAAAAACTGAGCTTTGTGTGAACAAAGGATATCTGTGCAAACTGTACTGAATATTGCAGTTTGTTTAAAACGAGGGGCAAAGAGGAGGAGGCATGTTGAAAGTTTGATCGACAATTCTAGAGCCAAATTGAGGGGAGTTTTCAGATCAAAAATTGGTGACCATTATTGTCTGAGTGTCTCCTGCAGCCACTCTTGGCTCCCAAGAATTCCTAAACTTGGGTGAATAGGGTCATATTGTGAATTCCTCAGACAATATGACTTGCGTCCAGTGAAATCTCATTAGGGATAAGAATATTTCAGGGATCCTTAATATTTTGCTTTTGTTTTCTGAAATTGGATTTTATTTTATTTTATCTTATAATTTCAGTTCATCTAAATTTTGTGTTCTGTACATGTGATGTTTGACTGTACCATTGACTGTTATGGAAGTTCAGCGTTGTATGTCTCTCTCTACACTGTGGTGCACTTAACTTGTGGATTTTTTATACTAAAAATGTAGAATAAAGACTATTTTGAAGATTTGAATAAAGTGATGAAGTTGCATTACACCTCATTCCAAGGATTCTTTACTTAGCTTGTTTTTTAGATTTTTTTCTCTCTATACTGATACCTTCTTTTTTATACCAGCTAGAATTCATCTTAGTGCTGCCGTTGTCTTTTCTTTTACAAAGCCTTTGAAATAAATGCAGGGCTAAGATTTGACCATTTTCATGAGTTCTACTGTAGATGTTCAACTTTTCTTTAGTTTACACCCTAAACTCTTTCAGATTCTGGGATTCGGAACTTAAACTTAGGAATAAAGGAACAATTGATGCTACTAGCTTGTTTGGCAGTTTAGCTTGAGGAAGACGTTTTAATATAGCAATCTGTATGTATTTAGGGTGACTTTCATTTTCTCTAAATTTCTGTGTAGAGAAATACTGAAAACTGGAATCTACTCTGTCAGTATCAATTCCTCAACTCTTAGAGCTTGGGTGGGCTTGAACTTTAATAATGGAAGCAGTACCATTAAGATGTCAAAGAAGATCTAGCTTAATTCCAGTAACTGAAGAGCAAGTGATTTGTACCTAAACACTATGCCTTTTATTTTTAAAATATGCTATAGGGCACATGCACTCACAGAGTGGGTAGAGAGAGTCAAAGTATGAGAGAGAGAGTACACCCCCCCCAAGGGAGGATTTGCCACATTGCAGTCCCTTTTCCATTCTCTTCTCATGATTTTGGGCATGCATGCGCACATGCTTGGCATGTTCCTCAAGCTGCTTGGTCCAGGACTCAAACCATACAGTTGGCCATTGTGGGATCCAAGAAACTTGGTTTGATTCTGAGGACACTGGTAGGAATGGTGGTAGGTAGATTTTTCCTGGTTCCCTTAGTGCCTACATAAAATGACTTCTGGAAAATGCTGAACTTTGCCAGGATGGGAGCTAAACCAACTCACCACCTGTGTTTCTGATGGGACTTCTCTGGGACCAGCCCTCCCCCAACACCAATTTTGTCCCAGAACTCTGAGATAATCTGGGAATTTCCAGGACTTCCCTAGAGGGTCTTAATAAACATATGCCAAGGAGTTAAATAAAAGAAAATGATTGTTAAAGTTTGAGCAAGAAGGGGCCCACAGGTGGCATAATGGTTACGTTGCTTAAAACTCACAGTGGGCACGTGTGTGTGTGTGCGCGCATGCGCGCTCGCACGCGCCCAAGATCCCAAGAAGAGAGGCTGGCAGGTGGCGTAGGGGTTAAGGGTGCAGGACTCCCACATGGTTGACTGCAGTTTGAATTCTGGATCTGGCGGCTTGCTTTCTCACTTTCCCACTCTCTCTCTCTCTGTCCCTCTTTAGTCAAAATTTAAAGTGTTGGGACCAGCAGTTGGCGTAATGGCTATGTCGCTGGACTCCCATGTAGTTGACTGTGGTTCGCGTCCTGGACCCGGTGGCTTAAAACTCACACCAGGTGCTTGTGTGTGCATGCCCAAGATCACGAGAGGAGAAGGGAATGCCGCATGGCCATCCCCCCTGGGGGGTGATTTCTCGCTTTTTGTCTCTCTCTCTGTTGAGTGCACGTGTCCTATAGCAAAAAAAAAAAAAAAAACAAACAAAAAAACTCTTCCCCCCCAAAAAAAATTAAATAAAATAATTATTTTTTAAAAAAGAAAAACGAGCCTGAGAGGAGAATAGGGAAGGGATTGTGAAGTGGCCCTGAGGGGGTGATTTCCTGCTTTCTGTCTCTCCAGTGAGCGTGTACATCCTATAGCAAACATCTCTCTTACACAAAAAGTTTAAGCAAGGATAAGTCAAAATATAAAGGCAGTTATTTCTTACACAGGAGCATCTGTTTTCTGTATCAGAAAAATTTTAATTCGGATAAAAGCATCAGTACAAGGTTGTTGAGGAATACAGCAAAGAAGGCTCAGATTAAGGGATATAGCACATTTATCAGGAAGTAAGATCTCCATAGTCTTGTTCCCCTCCTGACCTGGACTTTCAGTGTACAATCCATCTTCTGAAGGACTTCTGTGGGCAAAATCTTCACTGGGCTACCACTTGGTGACCAGGTAGGGACAGAGTGGAGCAGCCAGTTACCTCTTTCCTTCTTCAACTTGAAAGTGATGATGACTAGGCATATATAATCAAATGTTCCCTGGCATAGCTCCACCTTGTTGGCCAGCCATGAGCACCAGCCCTATAACAAAGGCTTGGTTAAAGACATCACAAGCAGCATCCTCCATGTCCTGGTCCCTGGAGTCAACAATGTTGGCATTTGAGCCTATGTCCTGGAAGGAGCTTGGATTTGCCCATATCAGTCAACGCTTCTCACTGGCTTCGGATAAAACTTTTGGCTAATAAGTTAGAAACAGTCATCGTGTTGGTGCTGGAGCCAGGAATAAGCTCCTTGGGGCTGGAAACTGTTAGATGAAATATTCCTCCTTCTCTCTGTCCTTGGCTGAGTCACTCTCCATCTGGAGGGTGGCACTGGGCTCGCCTTCTGCAGGTTCATAGGTGACGTAGCTGCCTTTGTTCTTGTATAGGTAGAAGAAGATCAAGATCACAACCGAAAACAGGGTGAGGAAGACCACTGTGATAACCACTTGAAAAGGAGAGGGAAAAATGTATAGATGTTTCAGGACTGAGGATGTCTCAAATTGATCGCATCTTCCTGAATTAGACAATTCCCTTACTCTTAAGGATCCTCTTGTCTTGGTTAACTGGTATCCATTCCCAAATCCATGTTTCCCTCAAGCCCAACCTCCAAGGTACATGATACCTGGAGTCTCTGAGTACTTGAGCTAAGGACACAGTGCTTTTCATTCCTGACCACACTGAACTCCCTTCTAAACCAGTTTTTGATGATTATGATAGAAACAGGAAGGAGGAAAACAGGAAACAGCTTATTTCAACAGGAAGGGTTTTAAAATCCATAGCCTCCCGTAGGGGTTTCTCTGATCTTCCCCTTCTTCCTCACCCACTCAACAAAACACAGAAACCCTCATCCCCACCCACATACTTGAATGTAGTGTCCATATGTGTATCTATTTGTAGCCACCTCCCAACCTCTCATTTCCTGGCAATGCCTCTGACAAGCTTCTGAGTCATTTATAGCTGTGTGTGTGTGTGTGTGTGTGTGTGTGTGTGTGTGTGTAAGATAACTAACATGCGAGAACAAGCCCATTAATGGGTTTGATCCTTGATGTGGTACTTTTCCTGTATGGGGAAAAACCTTAGTTTGTCACAGGATTCTAGACTGTCTTAGGAATGAGATGGCCCCAAACCCAGAAGGTCCCTTGGATTTGATCCAAAGCTTTGTTACCTGCAATGAGTGCTGTGCTGGCTTCAGCTTCTGGGGATGGGGCCTTAGTCACCTGTAGAACTGGTGTGGTCATCAGTTCTGAAAAGTTAGAAAAGTAAAAAAGGAAATGGAGTGAATTCTTTTTGTTTTAAAACATATGTCTTTCCCTCAGATCTTCCCCACCTTATTCTCTATTCCAAAGTTTATCATTCAACTCCTGAAGTAAATTCAAGCTGAAAACAAGGAGAATAGAAGAAAAAAAACATTTATCAAAGATAACATTTTCAAAATAATTATTTTTATTTAATTTTATTTATTATTATATTTTAATTTGACCAGAGAGAGAAGAAAGTGAGAAAGCAAGCTGCCAGGTCTGGGATTTGAACCTCAGTCAGCATGTGGGAATCCAGTGCTTTAACCACCACACCACCTGCCGGCCCTAATAATTAACAGTTTGATGAATTTATCTCTCCCAGATAGAGTGGTTAGGAGAAGGGGCTTTAGAGTCTTACTGACTCTTTTCAAATCTGACCACTGTCCTTTACTAGCTATGTGACATTGGACCCAGTGCATGAGTTCTCTCATCTGCAATATGGAGAAAATAGTACCTATTTTATAGGGTTACTGTGACATGTAACTCAGTAAGAATAAGCCATTTTGGGATGCATATTTTTATATAAATGAGATAATATATGTATAGTACACATTGTATATTTATAAAATATAGCACATATATTTTCTGTAAGTCTCTTAATAAACATTTTAAAATAAAATAATGTTCCTCCCCGGTTAAAAATTTCAAATATAGGGGGACCAGCAGTTAGCGTAATGGCTATGTCGCTGGACTCCCACGTAGTCGACCACGGTTTGCGTCCTGGACCCGGTGGCTTAAAACTCACGCCAGGTGTGTGTGCGTGCGTGCGTGCCCAAGATCCCAAGAGGAGAATGGAGAAGGGGCTGCGGTGTGGCCATCCCCTCTGGGGGGTGATTTCTCGCTTTCTGTCTATCTCTCTCTCTGTCTGGCGAGCACACGCGCCCTATAGCAAAAACCTCTCAAAAAAAAAAAATTTTTTTTTCAAATATAGGTTATGCAATTTAAAAGCTACTAGAATAAGGCCTTTCCTACCCTAAAATATATTCTACAAATCCTCCTGCTACAGGTCCATCTGTCATTCAGAGACTGAAAACCCTTCGCTAAAGTTATTACCCAGAGTCATAACATGACAGAACTGGTGGTCTCCAGAAGTCCCTTAAAAAAAAAAAAGTATTTATTTATTTAATTTCATGTTTTATTACTATTTTTTAATTTGACCAGAGAGAGACAGAGAGAGAGAGAGAGGAGAAGTGAGAAAGCAAGCTGCCAGGTCCAGGATTCAAACTGCAGTTGGCCATGTGGCATGTGGGAATCCAGCGCCCCCAACCACCATGCCACTTATTGGCCCCTCCAGAAGTTCTTCTTAAGTGTTTACAAAGGAAGTCAGGAAGCCCTTAACTTCTTTCCTAATAAGCATTTTTAATATTTAGGTTGAAAGGTAACAATTAAATAGAGGTTACTACAGGATAGAGGTATCCTAGGGAAAACAGGCAGCTGACCCTGCACAGGAGGCAGCTCAAGGTTCATTTAATAAGTAACAGCAGCACTCACTCACTGCCAGGCGCTGTGACACAATGGGAGCAGAATGATGAGCTACAGCTGCCGTAGTCCATGATCACCATGAAGAGGAACACTGGGCACTGAGGAGAACATGCGGCACTGGGGCAGCCAGGAGTGGCTCCCCCAAAAGGAGTTTCAGGCAGAGAGAAGAGCCGGGGCCAAAGCTCTGAGACAAAGGGCTCAAAGGCCAGTGTGGCCAGAGCATGGAGTATGATTCCTGTTCAGGTTTCCATCAGGGCAAATGAAATTAGGTCACAGGTGTTCTGGTGAGCCTGTGCTAAAGGGGCCAATGATACTGGGGATTTCACATGGGCTGAGGGATACCTGATGGCTCTCCTGGTCCTATAACAGAGAAAGCAGAAAGGGGCTGGCTAGTGTGTTTCCTTTTCAAATGGCCTGGCCAAGCCCTTCTCCACTGTTCCTTACTCTTTCTTTGTTTAAAGTTTATTTATTTCTTCCACGACAGAGGGACACAGAAGGTACCTCCCAACAGGGTCTTAATGCCACCTCACAGTCATGTGCCCCATATACATCATATACATCAGGAGACCTTGGGATCTGATCCTAGGGCCTCCCATATGGCTTTAGCTTCATTAAGTATTGCATTATTCTGCGCCGCTGTGGCTGGCCTCTGCTCTTTCTTTAGGAATGGCAGCCCATACAGCCACTTTGTGGACTCGGGCAAGTGGTTATACCTCTTGATGAACTCACTCATTCCATAGAGACTACATTAAATGCAAGAATATGTAAGCATCATATAGTAACTACATGTATTCATCTCCAAAATTCCAAAGGTGAAGGGATTATGGTGTGGCTATCCCCCATGGTAGGTAATTTCTCACTTTCCTTCTCTCTCTCTCTCTGTCTCTCTCCAGCAAGCGTATGTGCCCTACAGCAAAAACGTTAAAAACAGATAAAACAACAAAGACCTATGAACTTTGAATAGCCTGCACCAATTCTGTTTTTCCCGTATATCTTCTTCTTATTAGTAATATGTTTTCAGAATGTGAGTCATTTAAAAAATGCACATAAAATTTTGTAGTAGAGAAACCAATATTAGACCCTGTCAGAGACTTAGAAGGTGTCAGAAAGTTCAGCGTAGCTCCAGATGGACTCACATATTCAAATATGAAGGGCAATTTTTTTTAGGTTTTTGCGAGGGCAAGTGCACTCACCAGAGACAGAGCCAGAGCAAGAGAAAAAGGAAGTGAGAAATCATCCCCTAGGGGGACAGTCATGCTGCAATCCCTTCTCCATTCTTCTCTTGGGATTTTGGGCACTCATGTACATGTGCGTGATGTGATTTTCAAGCCACTGGATCCGGGACTTGAACCATGCTGCTGGCCACATGGGATCCAGTGTTTAAACATCCTACTGGGCCAGAGAACTTTTTTTTTCTCTTAGGTTTTGCTATAGGGCACATGCACTTGTCAAAAAAAAAGACAGATAGAGGGAAAGTGAGAAATCACCCTCCATCACCCCCGAGTGGAGACAGCCACACTGCAATTCCTTCTCCTCCAGTCTCTTCTTGGGGATTTTGGGCACGTGTGCACACCTGCTTGGCATGATTTTTAAGTTGCTGGGTCTGGAACTCTTAACTGTGGCCAGCCATGTGGGAGTACAGTGCCTTCACTATGCCACCTCCTGGCTCCAGAAGAGCAATTTTTAAAAATTTACATTTAGGGGGCTGGCAGGTGGCTTGGTGGTTAAGGGTGCTGGACTCTCACATGGCCGACTGCAGTTTGAGTCCTGGGACCTGGTGGCTTGCTTGCTCTCTCTCTCATTCTATTCCTTTTTGGTCAAATTGAAATAAATGAATGAATGAATAAATAAAGTTAAATAAAAAAATATATATATATTTTTTTGGAGAGGTTTTTGCTATAGGGTGTGTGCGCTCGCCAGACAGAAAGAGAGAGACAGAGAGACAGAAAGCGAGAAATCACCCCCCAGGGGGAATGGTCACGCCGCAATCCCTTCTCCTCCATTCTCCTCTCGGGATCTTGGGCACGCACGCACACGCGCCCGGCTTGAGTTTTAAGCCACCGGGTCCGGGACGTGAACCGCGGTCAACTACATGGGAGTCCAGCAACACAGCCATTACGCTAACTGCTGGTTCTCAAATAAAATAATTTTAAAAATTTTACATTTGGAGCAAGAATAAGGGAAGAGTGAGGGTTGCCGTTTGGACCTGAAGGTGTCAGGTTAGAGGTAAGAGAGAAAGCAGTATTTCTCCTAGCCCTTTGTGCCTCTGTCTTCTATTAATGAGAATGATTTTTGCACTAAGGAGTAACAGAAGTCTTGAGGATATGGGGAAATGAGCTCAAGAAAGCAAAGCAACCCCCAAATCACCAGGCTGATATAAAAGAGATACGAGCTGGCCACATAGTGAGGTCATTTAGTGCTGCTCAGAAGCCAGATTCCACATGGATGACTAGAGTTTAGATTTTGACCCTGGGTTCTTTTTTTTTTTTGGAGAGGTTTTTGCTATAGGGTACGTGCGCACACCAGACAGACAGAGACAGAGAGATAGAAAGCAAGAAATCACCCCCCAGGGGAGATGGCCACGCCGCAATCCCTTCTCCTCCATTCTCCTCTCAGGATCTTGGGCACGCACACACACGTGCCCGACGTGAGTTTT